ATGGAAAGGGATTTGGATTCAAAGGCTTAATAAGACTACCTTAAAGGCTTTTCGAATACCATGCTTAGAGGCATGCCCAAATCAATAAAGGTCATAGGAAGTGATTTTGAGCAAGAGTAGCTGGGTTCGATTTTGGAATAGTATTTTCACTTTTGAAGGAGAATCGTAGATCATGAGTGTGGTTCTTGGGCTGGATTCATTATATTTTCAAGGTGAAGGATTGGAGACTTTCCTTTAGTCAAGGAAGCGGGGAGATGAGTGGCAACAACTTGTTGGATCATACCCTTAACTTCTTCGAGGATGGACAGTTGTTGTTTGCTAAGGGCAAGAGCCAAGGTGGTTTTAAAGGATTCCTCTTATTCAATAAGGAGACCAATAATCATAGATTCTATTTCAACATTGTCAAGAGTCATCGGTACATTTACGGAAATTAAGAGAAGTAGGGTAGGTCGATTTTAACATGATAGGTACTTACTATGTAAGAGTTTTGAATAATAATGGGTGCATTATGATGCATGGCTTTTAAGGATGGTGGATGTCTTATGATGTAAGGGCCTTTTGGATAAGGTTGTCTCATGAATGGATACCCTCTTCAGGTTAGGGAATGATTTTGGCATTGTAGGAGTTTGGCTAGTTCATCAAAATCTTCATTCTCCGAGTTAACTTGCTCACTCCTATTCATCCTCATGACCAACTTTACTCTCTTAAATCGAGCATCTCCTTTCTCACTCTCTATTGAGGACTTCACGACAAGTGGCGAATGAGATACAACAAGCACCGACAAAGGTGGGACTAGAGATATTTTTTAATGGTGTCATTTAGTAAATATGATTTTTTTTTTCAATCAATTGGATTGAAAAATTTGAAAAATTTTCACATAATGTGTGTACTTTTTAGTTTAATTTCATCAATTTAGTCCTATATTATAAATATGTATTTTTAACAATTGACTCCACTATAATAGTTTTAGTGTTGCCCCTGCATGTCGAGTGAGTCAAGTAGACGACTTGAGTTTTGGACCCAAATAATGAAAATGTGCATGGCTTTTTTTTTTGCTACTAATAACGAAAATAAGGGCTCTTGGCTACCATAGAAATTACTAAAACATAAAAGACAAAAAAAAAGGGGGGGGTTTTGCTACTAATAACCGAAAATAAGGGCTCTTGCTACCAATAGAAATTACTAAAAACATAAAGACAAAAAAAAAAGGGGGGCGCGGGGGGGAGAGGGGGGGGGGGGGGGGGAGAGAAAAGACGGTAGGAGAAATTTTATCAGTTCAAAAACCCTCCATCACCTCTCTCTGTCTTACTTTTTCGATCGATTAAAACTGATAAAGATCCCTAAAAATTTAAACGGAAGGATTATTTAGGATGGCAAAATCGAATCTCAAAAAACACGCTGGATATTCAACCAAATAATAAGACTAAAATAATTTGGTCATATCTCGAGACGAAATAATAATTTTTCCAATGTATAAATCCTTCATAAAATTTTGAAATTATAAAAGTATGAATTGTATAATAAATCTTCAACAAATTTTGTACTCATTTTGTATTAAATAGAAATTGATTTATGGATTTGTTAGTAAATATAATATAAAACTAGTGAGCCATAATATGTTAACGTCAATATTATGTGAGTTATCATAAAGCGGGCCTAAAGCCTTTGATTGTGATCGAGTTTACATAATGGAATACCCGCTTAGGCTTGTTTCCACGACTTTAATAAGCCTATCTAAATCTTTGCGCTAGTCCTGCCCAATAAAACGTATCATGACATTTTCTTATTCTCCCACTTGAAAATTTTTTGTTATTGCAGTAAACAATTCAACGAAAATGGACACTAACCGAATTTAATTAGCGCATTACTGCATATGCTATTAGCGGATATTACAACCAATTTCAAGCCTTGTCATAGATGTGCTATCTACTCTGCCGATATGTGCAAGGTAAGTATCACGATCCGTTTTCAAGGTCCAGACGAGCCCAGGATAACTCTTTAACAGTAACAAGTATATAGACAAGTTTTATCCTATGCAGAATGGACTCACAAGTAATTTTAAAGACCGAAAACAATGTTAAAATGGCTTAGCTATATAAGGAAATATTTCTATATAAGTACATTGCATATCTATAGTATATATGATCGGGCTCACAAGTAATTTCAGAGGCTGAAAACAATGTTAAAATGACTTGACTATATAATGAAATATTTCCATATAAGCACATTGCATATTTATAATATATATAAAAATACGAATGGAGAACATTGGATTTCCAAAACGCTCGCATGGACTTTTAATTTTATTAGTTGATTAAAAATATAATTAAGAATAATTTAGTTCTATTTCAACTAAGAAATTTTAATTTTATTGTTATTTATTGGTTGATTTTGTCCCATTCTAATTAGAAAACTTTTAATTTATTATTTTATATATTATATTTAAAATATCATCAAGTATAATTTAGTCCTATTCTAATTAGAAAATTTTTAATTTTATTGACTAAAAAATTAAAATTAAGATATAATAATATAAAATATTTTTTAGTTGACTAAAAAATTAAATTAAAGATATAATATTAAAATATTTTTAGAATGTTAAATAGACTACCTACACGTATTAGACAAGCTAGAAAACGAAAAATAAAAATAAAAATCTTTTAAAATTCATCTTTATTTATTTGATCCTAATTGTTAAATTATACACAGAAAACAGAAAAAAAGTTATTAGCTGATTATAAATTATTTATTTTAAAGAAACATCAATTAAGAAATATTAATTAAGAAATATTAAATATCAACTAAATATATAGGAATATTAAATCAATTAGGAATCCTAATATTAATCTAATTAACCTAAAGTCTCACTATAAATAGGTCTTTTAGAGCTAATTGAGAGAAAGTAAATGTTGAGAGAAAACAAATGTTACCTCCAGATGATCAGAGAGTACAAGAGTTCCAGTAAAATGATAGTTTGATTTTCTAAAAATATTTCATCTCTTGGAATTCTAATGATTCACAATTTTTGATTTGTTTTATTTTATTTTATTAATTGATTTTCTTCTTCAATTTTTCACATTATAAATTTGTTATTGTTAGTGAAAAAATTCAGAATTAGGTTCAACTATAGGTACATCGAGAGAATTTTAATTGTTTGGAATAATTCTATTAATGTGTTTATTTATATTAATTTTTTAAAAATTTGTGCATTTATAGAAATAAGGAGATTTTGGCTTCAATGAATTTATCACTCCTATGATAGTTTTAATTAATAGTACTTTTTTATTTTTGAAGTTTAGTTTATATTGAAAGTGTCTTATTTTTACTATGTGATTTATTATTAGATCAGTTGAAGGTTAAATATTTTTCTAAATATATATTTGAGACATGTTAGCTTTTACCACTTTATTAAATTCATAACTTCTGTATTAAGTATTTTATTCCTAATATTCTAATTAAATTTTATAGTTTAGTAATAAATATAAGTTTTATTAGTTTCTTATAAATATACATGGTTGTAACTTTTTTTTTTCCCTCAAGTTTTTACATATTTTTGAATTAGAGGACCTAATTATTATTATTATTTAGTTTTAACATTGCAATAGTGTTTTGTACGTTTTAGATTCATAAAGGAAAAATATTAAAGAATAAAAAGAATTAATTTAAGCATATAAAATAAATGTATCTTATTTCATATATTCTATTTAACATTTTAATTAATTAAATTTATGGATTGATAAAAATATCATTAAGGACTTTAATATCATTAAGGACTTTAATTTTATTGGTGAAAAAATAAAGGTAATTTAATTTTAATTGGTTATGTTAATTTACTAAATTTTCATAGGAAAATATTATAAAAAACCTTATTCGATTTATGATATTTTGTTTAATTATTATTATTATTATGTCATTATTATTTTTTTATCAACATTAAACTGATAACAATTAATAGTATCAGTAGTAAATTTAGAGGCTGCAAATCAAATCATATAAAACAAAACCAGAAAGCAAAAAGATAATGTTTTCTTTTATTTTTTACAACAAATACACATAAATTCAAAATTAAAATACTTTTTCTTGGATAGCAAATACTAGAAAAGGAAAATTCCAACATGACACACACTGCAGAAAAATAGAAACTTTTTTTAATCACTCATTTATATTCATAATCAAATATCTTTCTATTGGATAGAAGACATTCAGAAAATTGCATTCAGTGAAAATTTTCTAATCCTTAGGGCAGAAATATAAAAATCGACAAAAATTAGCCTTAAATAAGAAAGCATTTTTATTTATTTTGTAAGCAAAACTAACATAAGAAATACCAATTTACATAAAAAAAAGCCCTAAATTCTCAATATTCTTAGGGCGAAAATATGAAAACCGACAAAAATTAGATAAAAATAAAGGAAATATGCAATCCCAATTTCTAAAATTCACATATACAATCAACAGTCAACCATCAAAATTAGAATTGAATTCTCAAGTTAGAAACTGCACAAGTAGAAAAAATAAGTACAAACATAGATTTATATATTGCTAAACTATAGATTCCAAAGTTTGAGGTACTAACCAAAAGAAGCAAAAGATTCAGAACAAAGAAGATAAGTTACAAATAATTTTACAAGGACCGATCCCAATAATGTTATTAATAATAATTTTTATTATATATATTACTTTTTTAGAATAATATATCAATTTTAATAATATATCTTGTTGTTTTTTCAATTATAATTTTTCTTAAAAAGTTATACAACTATTAAACTTTTTTATTTTATTATTTCGTAAATACTCTTAGATTTTTTTAGTAATATTAAATATTCATAATTTATAACAAAAATAAATATATAATTTAAAATTATATATATAAATTAAATTACTACTAAAAACAAGTAAAAATCATCAGAATATATATAAACACACGAGTACAAATAACAATTACAAACAACGCGCAACGCACTTCACAAAAACTAGTTCGAAAAAAGAACACAATCACATCATCAAAAATAAATAAATAAATAAATAAAAGGGACACCCTCCCTTTGACTCCTAGTTTTAGCAAAGAAAAGGGCCGATCATTGAATACTCATGCAAATGATTAATTACTTGCAAACAAGATATAGATGAAGTTTTAAATAAAAACATAAGAATGTTAGGGTACACGAACGCACACTGGATAATTTCAGATTTCTAACTTGATATGAGTTCAAACGACGGAAGCTTCCACAGAGGAACTGCTGCATGTGAATGTTGTATGATAATCCCACAGAAACATGAGTTCACCGTTAGGTGTGTTTCTGATTCTTTCTTCAAAATCAAATGAATTTGAAGAATGATATTGACAGGTCATAACAATTACTGAAGCAGTTTGGGTGGAACAGGAATAAATCCATTCCAACCCATAAATGATATTGACAGGTCATAACAATTACTGAAGCAGTTTGGGTGGAACAGGAATAAATCCAGTGGAACAGGAATAAATCCATTCCAACCCAGAAATCCTTTTGAAATAATTCTTTGGTTTAGACAAACAAGCTTGGCTGGTTAAGCAAAAGCTTGTCTGGATATCAATGGTTGCTGGGCTTAGCCCCAGTAATAGTCGGAGCTGCACCCCTGGTTGCCTTGACATAAGAGACGTAATCACCGTAGGTCATAGTAAATATCGTGCTCTGGTAACGAGTCAATCTTATAGACTTCAGAAGTGACTCAGTGATGTGGCCACCATAGCCTGCTTTACGCATCAATGATTCAATTGCCTCCAATTTTGTCCAACCTGAACCAAAATGCCCAAATCATAAGAGACAAGACAAGAGAGAGAGAGAGAGAGAGAGAGAGAGAGAGTCAAGGCGGTATTGTCTCTTTATCATGATCTGCAGCATTCACGCAAAGTGGAAGATAAATCTCTTATGCAAAACTTATACACAGGTGTAGCAACACAAGCCACTCTGCTCACAAATGCAAAAGCTATTTTTGGCATAAGAATAACCAAACAACCCAGATATATGCTGCAAAAAAAAAAAAAAAAAAAAAAAAAAAAAAGAGATGCATGGCATCTACCAAAGCCTTTTAGATTAGGAAGATGTGAGCAAAACTTTGTGACAAAACCAATCTAACAGTTACAGAACAAGAGGCCAAACGGACCTAACAAGTACAATTACTCCTCAGACTGAAACTGGATTAATCAGAAAGAAGGCATGGTAAGGAGATGCCAGACCTTTGTTCTGTCAGCTATATGGACAAAAAGACCAACTAAAATAGCTTACCCCAATACTGTATGAGAAAATTCAAGAGTTTTTTCCCCTTCGATGAGTCTTAACACTTAATAACTCAACCATCTGTACTTTTCCATTAATGTTCCAGATGTAGCAGAGCTGGCTGCTTCCTCCCACAACTTGCTGAAGTGCATTGCAGAGTCAAATCAGAGATAAAAAAGGGTCCAAGTCTGCTCTTTTTGTTTTTAACATATCTAATGCAGCATATTACTTTATTCTTTTCATCCCATTCTTTTCGTTTCTCTTTCCAATATTTTCTTCCTCTTGCTTCATTTGCAGAAATTTTAGTATGACTTCAAGACAATAAACTAATCTTATTCCAAATAACGAAAGCATTTTCATTCAGAAAAGGCTTGCCAACATACAAATCTTGTAAGTAAAATCTGAAATAGTATGACTTCAAGACAATAAACTAATCTTATTCCAAATAACGAAAGCATTTTCATTCAGAAAAGGCTTGCCAACATACAAATCTTGTAAGTAAAATCTGAAATAGTATGACTTCAAGACAATAAACTAATCTTAATCCAAATAAGGAAAGCATTTTCATTTCAGGTTCAGTACTACTGCTACATGATAGAAAGATCGTAAACCACCACAAGTTTTTTTCCCTTGTTATACTCTCCGAATACATATACAATGTAGGAAGTCATCCATATATGGTACCCAAATCAACATCTTAAACAGTCTCTTCCCTTCTATTTTCTAAAACCATAATTTTCTAACTAGACACACCAACTTTCTTTCTCTAAAAATTGACAGACTCCAATTTTGGTTCTATGCTTTTAAGTTTGAACCTTAATTATTTAGCCACCATTCAGGAGTCCAGCCCTGAGAAATTGTGAACTTCTTCCAATGACAAAAAACTAGATGATATACTAGAGAAGTTGAAAATAGCAATCATCAATTGTGAAATCACTATTGAGACACTTTTATGGGCATAATTCAACAGACTGAGGCTAGGTCATTACAATTGAAGATGGTGCCACCTTAAGGGGGCTGCTTTATGGGTTTAGGGACATTATACTGCCTTTGCCAATGTTGTCAAGGCAAATTTAGATGGCATCTGTTACACTGATGTAGTCATGTAGAATCCCACATTCATCTTGCAATAGGATGAATTATGCTGTATATGAAGATTTAGGATCCACCTATATATAAAACGCCTTTAAGTGCAAAATTGTAACACCCAGAAGAACAAAGCACAGAATTCATCACTAGCTCGACTAGATAATTAAATCCAAATCATTAACTTCTTTTTAGGGAAAATAACCAAAAGCTGTCTTTTAAAAGCATCTGGAATCAGACTGAGGGTGTGTTAAAAGTATCACTGCTTGATTGGATTTTTCCAATAGCATAAAGGCTAGTAATTAGTAATCCAAATTAAATGAAACAATTGCATACAGCCATTTTAGAACACTATAATATATTTGAACATAATCAAAACATTTACATCAATGAGTCTCCATGAAACTGTTACCTTCATGGGCAGCCACTTCAGGTAAGTATGTGGCACTTCGCCTTGCATTGTTATTAGGATCAACAAACTCAATAATTAAACCATGCTTTCCAATCTGCAGCCAAAACCAAACTGTAACTGGGAAAGGAAAAAATAAAGGATCATGTCTTGCTAGATTTCAATTAAGTAATCTTGGAAGCATTTGCAAAGAGTAACAAAATAACTACATTTATTTTTGTGACAAAAGATGTCTTAGTCACAAACTAAACTCCTCATATAACTGTGTTATTCATTCTGTTACCACATATAATAGTTGATAGTAAAATCATAACAGGATTACATAATATAGGCTAAAATTGAAAATACAATAAAAGTCTAGGAGGATTCTTCTTGATAATTAAGCCATCCATTTGCCACTATGACTTCTTTGTTGTCCATTTAGGGGCATAAATGAGCCAAGCTACATAAACTCCATTTGCAAACTACTTGAAACAATTCAGCTTTTAGTCAGGATAGTTTTGAACTCCAGTAGCTTAAACAAGCAGAATTGCAAGTTCTAAATGCCTGAACCATTCAATCAAAATGAAAATTTTGAACTGTACATCAAATTGGCTAGAAAAAATCAATTGTTTGAGCCTTTAGCTTGAGGAACATCCTAAACTTCAATAATCATGGTCTATGGTTCCCCCCCCCCCCCCCAACACAAACACAAAAAGGAAAACCAATTTTATCATCTGAACATAATGTAATTTTAATGACACAGCAATAACCAGCATGGGAAAAGTGACACCAATATCCCTTAAAATGATGGAATCGGCTAGAGAATGAAAATGCTAGCAATCTAAGTAGTTTACTAGGACAATGTAACTCTGGTAAAAAATATTAGCCTGTGGTTGCTTTCATCAGCAGCAGCATTAAAATTGCATGAACAAGGGAATGTTCTGAAAATATTTGGGACAGATGAAAAGAAGGGACAAGAGGGTAGAATTTTTCAAGATTATGTAAATAAGTATAACTGGAACATTGTGATGCTCAACACGAAGTGGCATTTCAAGTTGAAATGGGACCCATTATTCTGGTTGGACCATCTCTAGTTAGTCCCTGCCATTACTATATTTTTGCTCAACATCTCGTAGAGATGAAATTCTTCTGCTTTCACCATAAGGCAAAAAGAAATGATTTTTCATGACTATTTAGTTGTGACTATAATTATCAGCTTAGCTATTTCAACTACAATAATGCATTTAAAGATTGGTTTGTTTATTTTGAAATTGTTTTCACATTAATGGTCTTAACAATGTATGAAAGTAGCACTGTGAACCTTATGCTTAATAACAACATTAATTTTTTTCTTTCGTGAAAGCATATTTAAATTTGCAAGCCCAAACCAGGGGGTAACATTTTTGCCATGCAAGGAAACGGTTGCATGCATTTGACTCTCCAAATGCAATGAGGGATGCTCCATAAAGTTTTAAATAGAGGAATCAGAAATGGTTTCAGAACTGGAAATGGTAAAATGGAATTGGATTGAATCAGACAATATCATACTGTATTGGCAGCCGCTATCGTGAATTGTTTTCAAATTAGTAGCACAAGTGAATATGAAGAATGAAACTATCTTCATTGCCAAGGTGTTATGGCCGTCGTAGCCCTTATGTCACAATGAGGAAGCGTCCTCCAGTTGGATGTGATTTCCAATAACATGTGTCAAACTGAGGTGATTTCCAGTTACATGTATCATAACAGGGATAATATCCTTTAGGCCAAAAATCCAATACATAACGACTGATATGCCATATTTAAAACCACGCACACATGCAATAAAGCACCTTTGATATTTAATCAAGTGAATTAAACAATTTTTTCATGAAATCCTTATAATTCAGTTTAAGGAACCCTCCACTGATCCCAATTAAACATGCAATTATAGATAAACTTGACCACAACAAGATTTTTATAGAAAGCTTTTCTGCTTGTTAGAGATTCTGTATGGTAAAACATGTCAAGACATTATTTAAGGCAAGAGAACACTCTCAGACCAACAAATAAGGAGCCCATCATTAACAAAAGGCAAAGATATTATTCACAACAAACTTCAGTCATCTAGAGACCTGAAAAATTCCAACCCCAGGAAAAAAAAAAAAAAAAAAAAAAAAAAAAAAAAAAAAAAAAAAAAAACACATACCTCCCAATCAAGATAATTGTTAGCAATTTCATAATCAGTCAGAATTGAAACAGTACATTCCAGAGAAGGCAATTCTTTAGGCTGTATTGGAGGAAATCTGCGATCCTTCAAAGCACTGCAAGATATTAATAATGAAATGGAAAATAGAATCCATGTAAGCATGGTCTACAAAGAGCGTCAGAGCAAATGAAGACATAAAAGTGATAAATATTATGCCTGTTAAGTTAAGAAATTTATCATTAAGCAATGGTCCAAAAAAAAAAAAAAAAACGTAAATGACTTTGGTAGTTTGAAATGTAACAGCCCAGCAACATAAATTCCAAGGAGCATGCCAAATAAATAAAAACGAAAAAATGTAAAAGATTTCCCAACCCTCTTTGCTGAGCAGCATTTCACACCATAAAAGGAGGGGAAGGGAGGGTTTTCTAAGGGGAAGGGAAAGAGAAGAAAGAGAAGAATCTTTTAACTATTGGCCTGACATTAAAGGAGGAGAAGAAGATTCTCAGAAGGGGAAGGAAAGGAAAGGCAAGGAGGAAACTACTCTCTAGCCTATTGCATTTGACAAACTTAAAAGTAGATATAGAAGGGGAATGGAAATTTTTAAAATTTGTTTGGATGAGAGAGATCAAGGGAATTATAATTGTAATAAGCCAAATGAAACCCTCATCCTCCAACTATGTTGTGCTAAAACAAACTAATCTTTTTGTCTATTGAAGTTGGCAATGCAATTTGGATTGATAATGTATGAGAAAAATGCGAAGGTCTTGATCAATATAAATTGAACTAGCTGGCAAGTAAGTCAACTACAACCTGAGAAGAAAATGTTTGATCACAAATAGAAGCGATATAAATTGTTACTATTGCAATGTTCAAGGAAAAAGAACTCTAACTGAATTTTCCATACTGTCTTGTTAGTTAATGATAAAATCAAGGCAAGTAGGGTAAATCATCTGCCTATCCCCTCTTCCCATGCTTTCATGCATTGAAAATCAAGTGTACATGTAGTTTTTGAAAAGAGAGAGTTTTATTTCTCTATATTGTGTTGTTCTTGTCCAATTTCTACTCTACTATATATATACATACAATGATTGTTCCAATATAGGAAGTAATCTGGAAGTAATCTAAATAAGAATAAACCTAAAATAGGAAAGACAATATTTACTCTAATTAGGAATAAACCTAAACTAGGAAAGACAATATTTACTCTAATTACAAAGATTTCAACGCTCCCCCTCAAGTTGGTGCATAGATATTACACATGCCAAACTTGCAAATTAAAAGATGAAAAACTTGCTATTCAAACCCTTTGTGAAAACATCAGCTATTTGCTCTTTTGAAGCCATATAGGAGACACTTATAAAACCTTCAACTATCTTCTCTTTTATAAAATGACGATCAATCTTTATGTGCTTAGTTCGATCATGCTAGACTTGATTATTCATAATATTGATGATTGCTTTACTATCACAAAATAAGGATATATTTGTTGTTTCAACAAACTTTAATTCTTCCATTAATCTGCACAATCATTGGAGTTCACAGATTCCCTGCGCCATAGCTCTATATTCAGCTTCTGCACTGGACCTTGCAACAACAACCTACTTATTGCTTCTCCATGTGACCAGGTTTCCTCCAACAAAAACACAAAAAAACACAATAACTTGAGGTTGATCTCCTGTCATCAAGGAACTAGCTCAATCTGCATTTGTATAGCCTGTTATTGTCAAATGGCCATGTTTAGAAAATAAAAGTCCTCTACCTAAAGCTGATTTTAGATATCTTAGAATCTGATGCACAACTTCAAAGTGAGACTCCCGAGGGTCATGCATCTACTGACTCACTAAACTTACAGCATAGGCAATATCTGGTCTAGTATGGGCAAGATAAATCAACTTCCCGACCAATCTCTAGCACCTGCCAACATCAACTAGACTTCCCACCCCAGCTTGAAGCTTATGATTGGCTTCAATAGGTGAGTCTGCAAGTTTACATCCCAATATACCAGTTTCTTTAAGGAGATCAATGATGTACTTTCTTTGAGAAATAAAAATCCTTTTTTTTTTTTATTTAGCAACTTCTATTCCAAGGAAATATCTCAATTTTCCCAAATCCTTAATCTCAAACTCCCTAGCTAATAAACTTCTCAAGTGAGTCATTTCTTCTTCTTCTTTCACTATTTTCCAGTCATCAACTTATAACACAAAAACAATAAGCAATGTGTTTCCAACTTCAAGATGTTTAATGGAACAAAGTAATGATCAACATCACTCTGAATGTACCACGCGAAAAAAAGCATAGCTTTAAACTAAACCTTTCCAAACCATGCTCTTGGTGATTGCTTCCAACCATATAAATGATATCTTCAGGCTTGCTATAACTTTTCTCTGGTTTGTCATCATCAAATCAAATCCAGGAGGAATCTCCATATATACCTCTTCTTTCAAATCACCATATAGAAAAGCATTTTTAACATCAAATTGATGTAACTCCCACTCAAGATTGGCTGCACAAGACAACAAAATTCTGATTGTGTTGGCTACAGGGGCAAATGTTTCCTGGTAATCAATTCTATAGGTCTAACTGAACCCTCAGGCTACCAATCTAGCCTTGTACCTCTCAATTGAACCATCTGCCCTATGTTTAACTGTGAACACCATTTACATCCAACTGGCTTCTTTCCTGGTGGAGGAATTACAAGGTCCCATGTCTCGTTTTTTGCTAAAGCTCTGATCTGCTCAACCATTGCAGCCTTCCATTTTGAGTCCTGTAACGCCTCTTGCCACTCTGGCGGTATAGAGAGAGAAGAAACATACAAAACGAAGGCTCTATAGGAAGGGGACAGAGCATTATAGGGCCTCTAATAAGGAAGCGGGACAGAGCATTATAAAGGAGATAAAATGGAAGATGGGAACGTTTTAGTGATGTTCTTTAAACACCTTTTCTAGAAACCAATAGGAATATCAGGGTAGACCAATAGGAATATCAAGGTCATTGTCAAAAGGGCTAGAATCAAGATTAGGTTCAGAATCAACAGGGATTAAAGAAGACTCACCAGGTTCTTCTTCTTCTGTATTTTCAGGGCCTGAAATTGGAGAGGACGGTTGATCAGAGGTCTCATGCTCCATAATTGTATCTGTATTAGTCCGCCGTGTGTAGGTTTTCAAATCAGGTCTATCTAATCTTCCTAGAGGTTTGGGTGGTTGGTCTCTCTTATTATCTATGTCTACAGGAATCTCCCTTGGAAAGGAATATCATCCATCACCTCTTCCATCTAGTATTTCTCCCCCTGAAGAGGTGATTGGGAAGGAAAATAAGACTCAAATTCCCGAAAGGTTACATCCATACTCACATCCATACTCACAAAGTATTTCCGAGAAGGAGGATAATAACACTTGTATCCTTTTTGAGTAGTAGAGTAACCAACAAATACACACTTCAAGGCTCTAGGATCTAATTTGCTTAGACCATTCTGATGAACAAAACAAACACAGCCAAAGACGGTAGGATGTACAATACAAGAGTTTTTTCCTTGAACAACCTCTAATGGAGTTTTAAAATTTAAAGTACGAAGAGGCATACGATTGACAAGGTAAGCAGCAGTTAAAATAGCATGCCCCCAATATAGTTTGGGGAGATTCATAGTGAACATAAGAGACCTAGCTACTTCCAGTAAATGCCTATTTTTCCTTTCGGCTACGCCATTTTGAGCAATTTTTCCTTTCGGCTACGCCATTTTGAGCACTAGTATTGACACAACTAGTTTAATGTATAATACCATTAGAATCTAAATAGGTATGAAAATCTGCATTCGTGTATTCAGTATCATTATCAGTTCTTAGGATTTTAACATGCGCATCAAATTGAGTACAAATCATTGTATGGAAGTTCTGAAAACACGAAAAAACTTCATTTTTCGTTTTCATCAAATAAACCCAAGTCAATCTAGTGCAACAATCAATAAAGGTCACAGACCATCTATAACTAGAAAGAGAGACAGTTTTAGTAGGACCCCATACATTAGAATGAATAGTAACATAAGGAATCAAACTTTTATTATTAATTGGAGAATAACAATGCCTGGTGTGTTTGGCAAGTTCGCAAGCATCACATACTAATGAATCAAAATCACACTTAACAAACAAAGTGGGAAATAAACGTCCTAAAACAGAAAAAGAGGGATTTACTAATCTCCTATTCCATTGAATAACTTCATGGGAAGGATTTCTAGAAGTTCCTAACAAAGCTTGGCTAGTACCTGGATTTGAAAAACAACAAACATCATCTAACAGATGCAGTCCATCGGACAAACTACCACTGCCAATCGTTCTCTCCGTGTTCAGTTCCTAAAATATACAATGAGTAGGGTAAAAAGTTACTTTACAATAAAGTGCTTTTGTGATTAAGCTAACAGATTAATAGGGAATCTAGGACCATGAAGAACAGAGGAGAGTTTAATATTGGAAGTACAATCAATTCAATAGGACCTGTGCCAGCAATCGGTACTAAGGAGCCATCCGCAATGCAAATTTTGTTTGTGCCTTGATACTTAGAATATGTGAGGAAATGTGTTATAGAGCTTGTTGTATGTTTATTGGCTCCTGAATCTATAACCCAAGAGGGTCTTGCAATTTTTGCAAGGTAAGAAAAACATTACCTGAATTAATAAATTAGACGCTGCAGTCTGAGTTGAGGAAGAATCAAGATGTGATGACAATCGTTTCAGGGACTGAATTTCCTAATCAGAAAAACTACCAGCAGTAGATGGGTCCTCAGATAAAGCTCCACTATCAGATATGTGTGTCTATAGTCTAGAAGAACTGACCCGCTTCCCTCCACGCCCTTTAGTTGGGCGTCCATGTAATTTCCAGCAGATCTCCTTAGTGTGCCGCCCTTTAGTTGGGCGTCCATGTAATTTCCAGCAGATCTCCTTAGTGTGCCTATTCTTACCGCAAGTCACAAAATAATTGATCTATGTCTGAAGAACGCTCTTTGCAACCTGTATCTGTTCTCTTGCAAAATTAGCAATCAACCCTGCTTTATCAATTGTAGATCTGTGAACCATAGCACTCCTCCTAGTCTCCTCTTACTGTACAAATGAGTATGCTTGTTGCAAGGATGGAAAAGGATTTCGTCTAAGAAGTTGGACTCGAATCTGATCATCCTCGTTATTTAGGCCAGCCAGAAAATCATACACACGTTCTACTTCAATCAACTTCTGAACTTGAGTCGCATATCAGTACATTTTGCTTGAAAGTCTTGGCAATAATCCAGCTCCTGCCATAACCCACTAAGTTCAGCAAAATATTGGAAGCGATAGTCCAAATCTCCCTGCTTTGGGTTTCATGAACCTTTCCTGTCGCAATTCATACCTCTGAGCAAGTTTTCACAATTTGCCGAGTAAGTCTATGAAGCGAATCCCCAATTATCTTCTTTAACTGTAATCAAGAGTAATATCCTCATGAAATGATTTGGGCTTCGCCATAGAATTTGATTAGCCTAAGCAAAATATTGAGCGATAGTCAAATCTCCCTGCTTGGTTTCATGAACTTTCTGTCGCAATTCATACCTCTGAGCATAGTTTCCAATTTGCGAGTAAGTCTATGAAGCGACATCCCATTATCTTCTTAACTGTATCAAGAAGTAAATATCCTCATGAAATGATTGGCTGCATAGAATTGATTAGCCTAGACGTAATAAGGGAGTTCTCTGACTTCCACTTGTGATCCACTGTCAAGATACCCCTAAAAACCTAGCGTCAATGAAGAGCAAACAGTACCGAGACCAAGCCAAGTAATTTGTGCCATCTAACTTCATTGGACTAATCTAGAGTGAAGGATTCTCCGAGTGAAAAGCTACGTCTACCTTTTTTCCGTCAACCATACTGTCAGTCTAAAATATTTGATAGTTGATTCAAAAAACTAGAACCGGAAATCACACAAGCATCAATACGTGAGATGAAATCAAAAAAAGGAACCAACATAAAGTCAAAACTGGTACTGAGTGACCAGTGGGTTTGAATCGCAGCACCAAAACAAGACCATCGGAACAAGAATCGTCGGCAAAGGTCACCGGAAAACGCCGCACGCGCCGACGCGTGAAGAAAGGCTAGAAACTTACAAAGGCGCGTGTGCACACACGTGTGATCGGACGGCGATGGAATTTGACCGAAAGGTCGATCGTCGGTTGCTCCTCCTGAAGTGGACGGTGATAACCAACTTCCTCTCCTAGTGGTGTTACTTGAAACTCAGACCTGTTTGCGGACAAAAAAACCTATGCCAAAAAATCACGGCAAGGCTCTGATACCATGTAGTTTTTGAAAAGAGATAGTTTTATATATCTATATTGTGTTGTTCTTCTCCAATCTCTACTCTACTATCCAATATAGGAAGTAATCTAAATAGGAATAAACCTAAACTAGGAAAAACAATATTTACTCTAATTAAGAATAAACCTAAACTAGGAAGGAAAATATTTATTCTAATTACCAAGATTTCAACAGTACGAATCAATGGAGGAGGATAAAGTAGCAACGTGGCATGGAGGAAAAAAAAAAGATTAGGAAATGAGAAGATGACAAATAAAATTTTTAAGGATATTTACATTATTAACGAAATAATAAAGAGTGAAAAGAACAAAAAAAGGATCATCCTCTCCTAATAAGGTCAAACATTAAATGCTCCAAATGGACATGTAACAAATTTGAAGTTATAGGGGAGAAGAATGAAGGGGAAAGGCACCCTCCTTTCTGTTTCCCCTCCTAAAAAATGTAAAACAAGGGGAATTTCCCTCCATTCTCCTTACTTAACCTCCATTCCCTTCCAAGACATGCATAATGCATAGAAGACAAAGGTTAGCCCATCTTCAAACCTCAAAGCTCAAAACTATTTCTCATAATGGACCTAAGAAAAATAGGAGTCACTTAGCTCGTGTCCCAGTCCATAAGTTGAGATTCTGATCATTTGGAACAACATGACCAAAGACTAGATAGTTCATCTATCTTCCACATCCCCTCCCCCTTCAACTCTACCAAAAGAATATAAGCATTAGCAAAAAGAAGAGATACCCAGAAAAACTAACAGCTCATTTGAATGGGAGTTAATTGGGAGGTTTTGAGGGTGAGACAATCAGTTGTTTGGGAAGAGGGTTTGGACAAGGAGGTTTTTTGGTGGTTATTTGAAGGGTTAGCCCCAAAACACCCCATTTTTCCTACCACAAAAGTGGGGAATCGGAGGGGTACAAATTTTAATTTCCCATATTACCCGTGTGTATTTTTAAAAACCCTCAAATTGAACCCTTCATTATTTCTTCCATTTTTTTCTCTTTCTAAACAATTTATATATCTTTGAAAATTTAGTTCAGGATAAAATAATTTAATATCCATGAATTAATAGTTTATTATAAAAACAAATTTAACCAATTCATATATCCAAAAAAACAACTTTAATAAGAAGGGTATCTTTGTAATCTTCATATTTAATTTTACTTTCCAGTACCCCAAACCAAGCAACACAAGTTTAACCTCATTTAGCTTAGCTTGCTCGCAAACATAAAAAAGAAGCAAGCAAGCAAGGCTAATAAGCACCAATACCCTCATGTCATCCATTAACATTGTGTAATTCACCAATTAAAAATTGATTTATTGGTGATTAGATAAACAACTAGGGCCCAATTTGAATTAAACGTTAATTTCTTGATTGTTATCCAAAATCAACACAAAATGAATTTTGGATAAAAAAAAAAAAAGAATTATCAGTTAGCTTCATTTGCACATTCAATCTTTGATGATCTTTCTTTTCCCCTACTTGGACATATATCCTATGTTAAGCTTAGTGCCTATAGATAAGAATATAGAAAAATTCTTGTGCCGTAGAAAAAGAGCCGGTTAAGCTCACTAGAAAGGAATCGGTTGATGCAACAAGTTTCATCCTCAACCTGAAAAAGACTAATTAGTGAGTTGAAATACCAAGAAGGAATCATAACGGAGTTGGATTTACACTTGTTAAGAACCTTAACCAATAAAAAAGTGTCTGATTCATGCCTTCTTTAGTCTTTACCATTCTTTTATTTTATACTCTATATATCTTGATAAAGTTTCTAATTCTCCAGTGAGCAGTCTTCGAGATACTAACCATGATACAGATATTCACTGTTCACAGAACACGAGCATCCTCCAAGTCACACATTTTCTACTCTATTCAACCTCTCAGTCTATGCTTATCCTATCATCACTTCGATATTATCATAACAGCAACATATTTCTCCTAGCCTTTCTCATCAAATTAAACCCTCCAAACAAAACTCTGAAGCCCTAATTATCTTTTCTGTCAAGAAACTTGCAGCTTGTCTCCTGAAGCAGAACAAGAGCTAAGCAGAACCTAATCATTCACTCAGCTACTTTGAAGTTTAGGCTCAAGCTTGTTCAGGATGAGCTAAATGGAGTGTTGCAAATTCAGATAATTTGTGAACCATGCATAAAATACAGTGGGTTGTCTCAATAAATTTATCTTTCAAATGAACATATTAACAAGCTTACATGATAAAATACTCATCAGAAAAAGTCGATAAGCATTATCGTTCCTGTTAATATTACATGCATGTGAAGAAATGTATGACTTTCAAGGACATGCTATAAGCAGATGGAAAATGAAAATTATAAACTGTAATCACTTTAATGAACAGCTTAAGTAAGTAATTTTATATACATTGCAACACCTCAAATTAGTATACATGAAATTGAAGTGAACATCAAATTATTAATAACTAATACAGAGTAAACAAGTAACTTCAAAGGCTAAACAAGACATTTCACCTAACTCAAGTTTGCTCATTTATTAAGTAAGCCTTAACAGTAAATGTTACATCAACTCATTATTCTTCAAAAATATGTTCAAGTGAGACTTTTCAGAACGGGCTCCAACAAACTCACAAAGTGTTTTCCTCATTTGCAGCCTTATGACTCTCAGTTGAACTTTTCAATAGAACTCTCGTTATCTCATTGTACAAAAAATTGCCCCCACATTTAAAAAGAGTTTCACTGGACCATTATCCTTTTCTAATTCTTACAACATATTATTTCACTTTATCAGAAGGGAAAGGTTCACATAAACCAGTAACATAGCCTATACCACAGGCGTACCTCACACCCTCAAAGCTAAACACACAACCAAACACCCAGGTTCAAACATACTTTGAAACATGCACATACACACAAAATAACAGAGATAGACGGACAGATACACAGACACACGTACACATAGGGAGGGAGGGGGAGAGAGAGAGTTAGAAATGCAAGCACATGAACTTATTCTTGGGAAGAGAAGAGGAAGACAGCAGGATTGTGAGGTTCATGATTTGGAGAAAACATATTATGTGCCTGAGCTCAGAGTTGAGTGAGAAAATGTTGCAATACCTGGTTAAAGCATAGTCCCTAAACCCATTAATCAAGCGTCGAGCTTCTAGTGTTCCAATACATCCACGTAAACGAGGCTCACCACCATTGACCATTTTCTTCCAAGTGACAAAAAGTGGGCTGAAACCAAATATTATTCATGTCACAAGAGATCAAAACCAAGAGGTTTTAGAATACAAAACAAACAGATCTACCAACAACATTGCTCCTAGATTTCTGTCCTCTATTAAACATTCAGATTAATAAAGCCAGTTACACTTTGGACTTTCCAACTTGAATTCAGGTCGGTAACTAAATATCAATTTGGTCCAATTTCATCACTGTACTTTTCTTTCAACCGTAAGGTGGTCATATTTCAAGACTGGGCAAATGTTTTCACACATCACTTTGCCAATTTCCAACATGAACTGCAATTATACATGCATATGCTTCTACTTGACATAATCAAATAATGAGATATTCAATTGCCTGTTAATCTTAAGGTTTTGAAACAAATTCTTACAATTTGGATATCCATTGAGTTAATTCACTGAAATATTGCAATTCCAACAATGATGACCAAATTGTAGACATAACCAAAATTTAATGATGAAGTTTGAACAAATTTTAGACCAAAAGCAATTGCTGATTAAACAAATTCAACAAATGAATTTGTAAGGCTATGCATTTCAGTTTGGGATATGATGCATCAAAGCTCTCATGATTTCAACATTTTAGACCAACAATGATTGCTGATGAGACAAATTCAACAAATGTATTTGCAAGGCCATGCATTTCACTTTGGGATATGATGCATCAAAGGTTTCATGGCAGCTAAAAAGTTAAAACCTGACAAAACATCCAAGCTTCTTAATTAACACCAAATATACATGAATATGGAACAAAATACATCCCAACTTGAGTTTGAGTATGTGTGCATGTCAAAGCCTCAAAACTACATGACTGATAAACATGCCAAACCATATTAACCCAGTACACATGCAAATGACAAGTGAAGAAGATAAAACACCACCCGAACATTATGAAATGCTTTTGAGTAAGCAGAAAATGTAAAATGCCGATAAGTTATAGTGACTCTAACATTTACAACTGAATTACCATCCAAGGTATTGAGTTAAAGTTGGGAACTGAATGTTATCAAAATGGTTCGAACCTATGGCCCTCTGTACCCAAAACAGATGCGCTGAAACTGGTAAATGTAAATAGGATGCAACTAAAAGCATCATTAAAACGATTTGCCACAAAGCAACTGAATGCACCAATGTGTGGCAACACCAGCCAACATGCAGTTAACATTATTGTCTTAAATGTTATGGCTTTTACAACATATCCAACTTAAGGAAGTACCAAGCATTGAACTGCAGAAAGGGATAACATGTTATTAAGGAACAATGATATGTACCAAAAGATTTTTTCCTATAGCATAAAAGCAAAAGTAGCTCGTCAAATTGCAGAATCTTAAAATTTGAGGTTTCTAGATTCACATGATGCAAGAAATGTTTTGGTTTATGCCCTCATTTAAAGAAGTGCAGAAAAAAATTCACTCCAGACATGAAATGGAACACAAACATAAAAGAAAATAACAGTAACTTCCATATAGTAGCTAGATTAACAATTGAAAAGCTCATAATCTGATGATCATATCCAAAGGAAGCTTCCCAGCACTCCCTATCAGCCCCGACCCAGAGTCTTGCTTTTTCTAAAAAGTATATATACAGCACCCATATATACGTATGCATAATCATTCATTGCAAATGATAAAGAGAGGATTTCTAGATATCACGACAGTGAACTCTATTACTCCATTATCTGACTTAGTTGAGTAAATTGTATTCCAATGATGCATCAGCATAATAGAAATAAGAATTATATATAAGATATAAAAATGACCAATCTTTTCTAAATCAATTTAAAAAAAAAAAATTGCTGACTTTCAGAACCATTTATGTTATCATAACAGAACAAAAAAAATGCGAAACAAGCATGAACCAATCATAAGCAGATACACATAATCTCTAGTAAATGCAACTTCATCCAATAAAAGAAAATAAGAAACAAAAATTTTGGGAAGAACAAATTCAAACTTGGCAATATATACAAACCTAGCAAAACTAAACCCATGAAAATCTGTATAACAGATGAAGAATCACATGCAAATTCCACCAAAATGCAATCACCAGTAAATAAGCAAACAAAAATTAAAATACCCAAAACAGAAGAATCAATTTTTTCTCAAAAAAAAAAAAAAAAAAAAAACAAAAATTTTGGGAAGACAACAAATTCAAAACTGGCCAAATATATTAAACAAACCTAGCAAAACTTAAACCGCCATGGAAAATCTGTATAACAGATGAAGAACACATGCAAATGGTTCCACCAAAAAAGCAATCACCAAGTTAAATAAGCAACAAAAATTAAAATACCCAAAACAGAAGAATCAATTTCTTTCTCAAAAAAAAAAAAAAAAAGCGATCAGATTAAAGGACGAACAAGGGCTAAAATTAAAAAAGGACGAGAATGAGCAGAGATTACTGTTCGCCTCGTCAAAGGCTGGAGAAGGAGCTTGCTCGCTGTTGTAAAAAAAAAAAAAAAAAAAGCGATCAGATTAAAGGACGATCAAGGGCAAAATTAAAAAGGACGAGAGAGAGAGATTACTGTTCGCCCTCGTCAAAGGCAGGAGAAGGAGCTTGCTCGCTGTTGTAGTGAGCTACGAGAGTATCAAAGCAATAGACGGCCATTTCCCTGTTGGCAGAAACCATTGTCTTGGAAATGGAAAAAGAGAGAATTCTCTGTAAGAACCGAACAAAGCACGCAATTAATCTTCTCTCTCGCTCGACAGGTAGAATAAGATAGGGAATGGAACACTTTTATGGTTTGGTTACTAAATAATTGAGAGAGAAAGCTCAAGAAATCACTTTTTTATATTTTGTTTACTTTTGTATATTGTTTTTCTCTTATCTGTTTCCATGGCTGAAGTATACGTTTCAACTCTTTTCTTTCCTTGGGAAGGAAAAATTGTCGTTATCGACATTAAAGTTCATCCATCAATTATAGCAAATTAATAAGTGAATCTCTTTTATTTTTAAAAATTAACTGTGAGGTGTTTGATTTATGATTATGTCAATATTTTAGTCTTTTCATTTCATTTAGGTATTTTTACCTAAATACTCTCTTTTCAAATTAATTGAAAAATTGAACTCTTAGTTATAATCAAAACTAAATAGGAAATATCTAACTTATGATTTCATTAACAATTTGCTCCCTTTGTTTTGGATAGAATGATCAAAAGAATATTAACGGAAGGATCAACGTATTAACAAATTCATATGTTAAAACCTCATAGTTAGTTTTTGAAAATAAAAATTCTTATGTGTTATTTTTTTTAGAATATTTTTATATGTTAATAGTTGTCGGCAAAAAAGGAAAATAAAAAGACAAAAATAAAAAGAAAAAAGAAAGAAAAGAAAACAGCTTTTTACTTCCATAATGCTGTAAAATTTTCCTAAATTACTGATAAACACCTAAAAGTTATCCACATTTTATATAGGATTGTATTTGTAATTGTGTCAAGGAACAATATGTAATTTTATAAATAGGGAAAGATATTAGGGGATTATATCTTCTAATATATCTCCCACAATTTTTCTCATATAACAGTCATGAATTATACTCTATATAAGATCTGTCTTCCGAAGAAAAAGGGTTAATGCAATTTTATTCATCATCATATTATACAAGACAAACCTTTATTTGCAACCTACAACTCTAATCCCAATTCTTTTTAGAAAAAGAATTATCAAATTGATGTGGTGAGAATGGACATACATCTTAAATTCTCAAATATAAGTATAGTTCCCATTACTACCTGTTGAATCAGTCTCAATGTATTCATTACAACTGTTGAAAGGATACCAATGGCTAGATTAGGTGAATCTAACTGGGCAAGAGCTTTGGTGAGCAACTAATCCCTACACCGTTTGATGTATCTACTCTCGATCCTCAAGCCGCAACCTTACTGATGTAAGTCTGTAATAACTTTGCAACTATCCTAGAAAGGATAATGGCTAAACCTATACCTACGGTAACTTAGATACCCCCGGTAACTTAGATACTCCTGGTTGGTAGGGTGGAAAGAAAAGAGAAATGTGACCTTAGAAGGAGGTACAATAGATAGACAAGTTGGAGAGTGAATGGAAGACATGGAGTCATCTTAGCGTACGGGCACCGAAGACAAAACGGTCATGCACATGCATTCCAAACATCTCTTATGAAATTTTTGCAATAATGCCAAGGAAGATTCCCGAGCAAAAACCCCTTCAAATGCTGAAAGAAGTCCGAGAGACAAGAGACAACACCAACTTTGGTTTGAGGAATGACTCACCCCCTGTGCTTGGAGATCATGATGATCAACTTTCCCCCTAAATTTAAAATTCCTTTGCTTAAAAATAATAATGGAAAGGCTGATCCGCGAAGCCATCTAGCCAATTTCCCCACAACCATGCATATTTAGACCGAGGAGGATGTGCTACTATGCCGAGCTTTCCCCATCACTTTGAAAGGGTTGCACAAGAGTGGTTCTAGATACTGAAGACCAGATCTATCAACTACTTTACACAGTTAGCTCCCTCCTCCAAAGCTCTGTTTATTATATGGATACCAAACAATAAGATATCATATGCCTAATAGATTTGAAGATAACAAATGATGAGTCTCTCCAAATTACATTAACATATTCCAAAAGCTGGCTATGCAAGTGGAAGACCTCAATACAAAAGTGGCCATCGCTAAAAACTATAATTATAACAAGCTTTTCAATTAAATAAATATTGACCGACCTTAAGCAAATAACTTCACGAGGCTAGATGAAGCCTATAAAGCTCAATAAGAATAATCTAAGAATATGGAAGTTAGAAGACAGAATGACAGATATAAAAGAAGGTCCCCCATTAAGTTGAGTTGGTCAAGTCAACCTAGGCCAAGCTACTCTTCAAGAACTCCATATTCTAGGGGCAGCAATTTAGCAAAAGAGAGGAAGATTTCACCCCCTTAGTCAAAAGTAGAGCAACCATACTGAGATGGCAATAAGAGAACAAATAAGAACTCCACTTCAACTACCCAAAAAAATTGAGAGACGAATCAACAACACATTTAGATAAAGGTAAATATTGTGAGTTCCATAAAGATGTTGGACGTGATATAGACTATTGTAGGCAACTCAAAAAAGAAATAGAGCAACTAATTCAGATGGAGTCTTAAAAAAGTTTATACGGAAGGACGTGAGCTTAAAGGATCAGAGAGAAGCCCAGACTGAAGCCTAGACTAACACGTCAAAGAAAGTAGGTAAGCAACCGGTAAGATCTGAAATCCTTGGTACTATTAACATGATATTTTGGTGGTACTACAGTAGGTGATAGCAGCTCGGCTAGAAAAAGGCATGTGTGAGAAATTTACTTAGTATATGTCGAGCAAGCACTGAGCATCCTATACAAGTCTATCATTATTTTAGAAGAAGACGCTGAGCATGTAAATTTTCCCCATTCAGACGCTTTAGTGGTTGAAGGAATAATGGAGAACTACAAGGTGAGAAAGATTTTGGTGGATAATGGTAGCTCGATCAATATAACCACCCCGTAAGTGTTCAAGGTGTTAAAGCTCAACAAAGCCAAGTTAAGTTGTTTTCGAACACCATTAGTGGGGTTGCAAGGAGACAGGTATCTATAGAGGGTAGCATAGAGAATGTTGGAACTCGGAGATGGAGAGCATACCAAGACTACAAAGGCAGAATCTATGGTGGTAGATATCCCTTTCCCCTACAACACCATCCTTGGCAGGCTACTGCTATATGACCTAAGAGCATGTGCATCTATGAGGTATTTAAGAATAACATTTTATTCTAACATTGGTGAATCAGAAGATAGTGAGAGAATCCCATGTGGTAGCACTAGACTCCTTTCTATCATAGAAGTCCTAAAGAAGAATAAAGAAAGCTTTGTATAGAAGGCAAGTGACGTAAAAGGTATCAACTCAAATACACTCACAAGTTGAATATTAACGCAAGCACTAAACCAGTGAAGCAAAAAAGACAAAATCATTCGCCCGAGCGATAAAGAGTGATCGTCTTAGAAATAGATAACCTCGTCTCTACATGCTAGCTAATGTGTTTTAGTACCTAAGCCAAATGGTAAATGGCACTATGTGTGGATTTCGCCACCCTAAATAAAGCCTTCCGGAAGGACTCTTATCCCCTACCAAACATATATTAGTTAGTGGACTCCATGGCCGGATACGAGAAATATAGTTTCATGGATGTAGCAACAAGGTATCATAAGATAAGAATGAATGAGCTTGATGAGGAAAGAACCTCTTTCATCATTTACCAAGGAACATATTGCTACAAGGTTATGCCATTCGGGTTAAAGAACATGGGAGCCACTTATCAATGCCTTATGAATACCATGTTCAAAGATTAGATAGACAACATAATGGAAGTCTATGGGGATGACATGATAGTAAACAGAAAACAAGCAGAAGATCATGCATGTGACTCAGAATAGACCTTTCAGATATTATCTAAGTATAACATGAAACTTAAACCCAAATAAATGTGTATTCGGAATGACTGCAGGAAAATTTCTAGGATTCATGATCTCTTAAAGAGGGCTTGAAGCTAATATAGAGAAAATAAAAGTCATGATCAAGATGAGACCACTTAGGAACATAAATAAAGTACAAGAGCTTAATGGAAGAATCATGACTCTAGAACACTTTAGTTCTTGATCGACTAAGAGATGTATGCCATTTTATCACCATTGAAAGGCCTTAAGCATTTTCAATGGAAAGTAATGCCAAAAGCCTTATAAAAGCTAAAGAAATTCCTCAGTTCACCATTGCTCTTCAGGCGACCCAAAAGAAATGGAATACCTAGCAGATGAGTGCAGATATACAATGAAAATCATAATACAGGGGCTTTGAGACTAGAGCTTGATTTATATGAGGAAAAAAAGGATGAAGCAGAAGTACGAACCGCTGCCTGCCAACAATAGATGGCAAAATACCATAATAAAAGGATAGCCATGAGGAAATTCAATATAGGTGATCATATATGGAGGAAAGTAGAAATCACAAAAGGATCTGCAGGAGTTGGCTAGCTAGGCCTCAATTGGGAAGGCTTGTATGATATTACCCTGAAATGGGGAACGAGTACTTGCAAGATCAAACGAATTGATGAGGTGGAGCTATCACAAATATGGAATGCCGAAAACTTAAGACATCACCACATGTAAAAGTTGTCTGAATTTATGTTAAAGAGTCAATAGCAATAAAAATACTTAGATAAAAGCCAGGTTTTTTCACTTAGCTTTTAGGACTATAGAACTGGAATGTATTAAGGGAAGCTAATTGGCTTGGGATTAGATTCAAAAAGTCCTAAAAAAATTAAGATTTTCTTAAGCTTTTAAGATGAAATTACTATGTGAATCGTCGAGCCCTCGTGCTCGTCATAACTGTATATTGACCGAGCGAACACAAAAGAGTCTAAGTAGCTCCAAGCCAAAGCTCCTATCATAGAATTACAAGCTTGCCTCGAATAAGAAGGACCTAAGTGGTTCTAAGGCTTAGTGCTAAAACAAAATAATTAGTAAAAGCTCAAGTAACTTCGAGCCATCGCGCTCATAAAAATCGCACAACATGCTAAGTAATAAAATATGTTGAGCCCAAGAAGCTCCGAGCCATGATGCTCATCAAAACAAATAAAAAGAAGCCTAAGTGGCTCCGTAAGACTCACTGAGGAACTCAACAAGCATCATTTACGATTTATGTTGAATGAAAATAAAATACTTTCTATGAATGTAAGAAAATTAAAGTAGTAGTACTATAAGCTTTATTGATTCCAAAATTACAAAAAGAAAGGTAAAAAAAAAAAAAAAAAAGCAACATTGTGGAAAATATAAAAAATAAAGATACTGTCATGGCATTTATAAACTATTCTACTGTAGGAGTACCCTAGTCATGCCCCGACTCTAATCATTAGAGGAATTG